TGCGGATAACATCTGGGTATGTGCTTTATTATAAGTACTGAACCCTAAGTCTGAGAAGGTCTGAGTTAATCTGGAATGGAATTTCTCAACAGACTCAAGCTTGTCTTGAACAATATCATTAATACAAGTAGCCTGATCAGCTAGCTTATCCTGTGACCAAGCTCGGAGTTGCTCACAGAAAGTAATACCAGAACGAAAGTCAGTATCGGAGGTGAGTGGAGCATCATTAAAACTTCTCGCCATAATTGGCCAATATGCATCCCCAGCTTTTATTTCACACAGACTGAAAAGATCCCGCCATGCAGCGGAATATGTTTTTTGAATCTGAGCCATTCTTTGGAAAAAGGGCATGGGATGCTTTTCAGGATCAGGGAGTGAGGTAACAAGGGTAGCAGCCTGGGAGGGGTTAAATGTGACATACATGGGTGGTGCACCGTCTGCTCCTGGGGTAACCTGGGTGTAACCTCTGGGGACGGAGTGCCGTTGGGGGAATCCTGTTCCTCCATGTCAACCTCCCCGGGTGCTGCAAGGCCCCGGTGAGGGGTGATCTCGGGGGAAACCGGGGCCGGGATAGCTGGGAGGCCAGTGATGGGTGACGTAGTTGGGTGGAACCCCGAGGCCTGAGGGGAAACACCCACCGCATAGGGTTGGTCCGACATCAATGACTCATCGGACCCGACCACCATGATTGGGCAACTGGAACTAGCTGGAGGAGTGAAGGGGACCAATGCCATGGAGGGGGTGGATGTGGGGGCAGGCTGAGACGGGCGTGACAGGTGGGTGTTAAGGACGTGAGCAAGGGCAGAGATTGGATCGGAGGACTCGGGGGGAGGGATGGTAGGAGGGGAAGGGGTTGGTGGATCCGGAGGAGGAGGAGGAGGCAAGTCTGCAGGGGGCGGGATGGGGGTAGCGGAGTGAACCAACGACGTGACAGCGGAGAGGAGGGCGGATATGGAGGTAGACAGGTGGTTGGAAGTGGTTGGCTCGGGGGTCACTGGGGGAGGGGCGATAGGAGGGGAGGGGGTAGGAGGTTGGGTCACGGCAGTGAGGGCAGAGAGAAGGGACGACAAATCGGTAGGAGGGGGAGGAGACGACAAGGCAGAAGGATGTGGCATAGTAAGGGCGGGTGTAGTGGGCGACAGTGAAGACAAGTGGGTGGATAGTAGATCAGCCTGGGGAGTAAGAGAGGTAGGGCCTGAGGGTGTAGGAGATGACGTAGGAATGGGAGGATGGGACAAAGCAGAGAGGGCGGTGAGGAGTGACGTAAGATCTATAGGAGAAGGAGGAGTAGGAGGAGAGTCGGTGGTGGTAGTGGGAGGGGAAGCGGAGGTGGGGGAAGCTGAATCAGTAGGATGAGTTAAGTTCAAGAGGGCGGAGAGCAGGGACAAGAGATCTTTAGGAAGGGAGGGAGGTGGCACAGCCATAGGGGAAGGTGGAGATGCAGAGGTTGCGGGGCGAGTTAATCCTAAGAGATTAGAGAGGAAGGAGGAAAGGTCTGCGGGAGATGGGGGGAAAGAGGAAGGGTAGGAGGAGGAGGAGAGGGATCAGAAGATGCGGGAGGAAGAACAGGTGAGGTAGGGACAGTGGGTTGAGTAGAAGATGAAAGTGCGGAGAGAAAAGATGTGAGGTCCGTGGATGGGAGCGGAGAAGGATCTGCGGGAGGACAAGAGTCTAGGGGAACTGGAGTAGCGGGATGGGTAAGGGTGGAGAGGGCAGAGAGCAGGGACGATAGACCGGTGGAAGGGGATGGATGTAGGAGCAACCGGGGACGGGGCAGTTGAGGCGGAGAGAGAGAGAGAGGAGGGGTAGGGACTTCTAGGGGCAGGGCAGGAGCTGACGGGGCGGGGTCCGGGATAGGAGCTGAGGTAGAGGCAAGCGTAGGTAGGAGGGGTGGAGGACAGGGAGGCAGAGGAATGTCAATGGGCGTGACGTGGGAGAGGCCAGGGACGGGGTCTGATCGGAAAGGGGCTGGAGCATAGGGGTGGGTTGGAACGAATGGAGTGGCACAGGGTAATAGTACGCACCATCGGCCCCGAGCACGGGGCACAGGGGGGTGGGGGTTGGGACCACACCTCCGGGAGGTGGAGTCTGAGCAGTGACGGGGGATGCTGGGCGGGAATTAATTGTCACACTCTGGGCGCCATCATAGGGCGGTGGCTGGGGAACATTGGAAGATACATCGCCATTGTTAGCATTCCTATGGTACACGTGAACAGTTTGCCCCTAAAAGTCTAATTCTTCCTCTATCCACCCTTCCCGTTTGAGACCTCTAGCTACTCGATACCAAGCCTCTACAGCCTTCGTAAGCCCATTATCCAATAGCAATCCCTCCTTATCTATGAGCAATTTCCTCCAAAACTCAGGTTGTAACCTCCCACTAGGCGACATTTGGAAACCACACACTTTGGCAATCTTTTTAATCTTTAACATTGCATCTTCCCCCGCCCTTTCTTTTACAATGTTGAAAGCTAACAATCCCTTAGCAGGTCTAGCATGTTCCTGCCCCATCTTGATCAAACAGAGTGTGCCACGTGTGATAGACAGATATACAGAGAAGAAGAAAGAGGAATGTCTACAGTGCTCGACTGCCACGAGGACTTGAGTCCTGTGCGTCTTCCCCAAATGTAGACTAGTCACGAATGTTCGCCCACCCGAGGTGGTGGCCACGGACCGGAGCGAGCGAGCGTGGGTGACTAACACAGCTCTTGGCGACAAACGCAGGAGAGATAAAGGACAAATGAAAAGATGAACGTGGCAACACTAACCAGAAGACATTTACAGAAATCACACAAGTAAAGATGGGTGTAAACCCCTGAATCCAGAATTAGCCACACAACACACACACACACACACCGAGGGTACCCACACTATAACAGCAGTTGAATAAAAACCACAGAATGACAGAGAGCAAAATAGCCATGTACATGTTAACACAACCCGCACTGAATATTCAAATTGTAACAATCCCCAGCCCTCCCCACCAGGCTGGTTCCCCGTAACACAATTCCTAATGAAAACACAGCAGTAGTCAAGCTAAAACCCAGCCCTCACCGGCTGTAATGCGTCCCCTGCCCGCTAGGCAGTCAAGCTAAATCCCAGCCCTCTCTCTGGCTGTAATGCGTCCCCTGCCCGCTAGGCAGTCAAGCTAAATCCCAGCCCTCTCTGGCTGTAATGCGTCCCCTGCCCGCTAGGCAGTCAAGCTAAATCCCAGCCCTCTCCGGCTGTAATGCGTCCCCTGCCCGCTAGGCAGTCAAGCTAAAACTTCTAAAGAAACCGGTTATCACACTCATTCATACAAACACATATAGATATAGATAGACAATCGAAAGGTTCGTTCAAAAGGGACACCGGATGAGTTAATTACCTGTCTCTAGTAGCCTTCTGGAAGCCGGAAGTGGACTCGGAGGCAGACCGACACAAAACAGGAGAATAACACAGGCAACGGCTGTATTATGGAGGTGATCAGGCTCCGCTTGTCCCACTTTTCGGAGGTCCGCTCCTGTCCGTTGGTTTCCAGCCCTCCGAACCGGCACTCCGGTGACCCCACGTTGGGCGCCAATTGAAATGGAAAAATCAGTCAATTAATTGATTATTTCTTTGTGTATCTGCCCCTGGCCAAATTAATGAAACAATGCGTGCACGCTCCCTGAAGTAATTCACACCAGACACAGGTTCCAGGTTGTTGAATAACTTGAGGAATGTTTATTCAGAGGGGACGGCAAGTCCCTTTTAAAGCAAAATTACATCATAGGTACTGTCAGAGATAACATGGAATAATACATCAATTATTGGTTAGGTGTTAAGTGGTCTTTCTAATGCTCTGCCGACTGAAGGTGATGTCACCGGGACCATGAGGGTCTCCAACGGTTTCCCGGCGCCATCTTGCTGCACGAGGTAGTTAGTCGATGTTATTGGGGGAGGAGGGGTTAGAAGCCTCTAGCAGCCATTTTGACTAAATTATGTGTGTATAGCTTATATACAGGTTTTTGTGAAATGAGTAAATAGACATTTTACTAACTAGGAAATATATGAAGACCTTATTTCCACAACAGTAGAAACATTTAAATATATAAAGGGAATCAACACAGTAAAGGAGGAGACTATATTTAAAATAAGAAAAACTACCACAACAAGAGGACAGTCTTAAATTAGAGGGGCAAAGGTTTAAAAATAATTTCAGGAAGTATTACTTTACTGAGAGGGTAGTGGATGAATGGAATAGCCTTCCAGCTGAAGTAGTAGAGGTTAACACGGTGAGGGAGTTTAAGCATGCATGGGATAGGCATAATGCTATAAAAGACTTAAGATAAGGCCACAGACTAATTAAAAGTATTTTGAAAATTGGGCAGACTAGATTGGCCACATGGTTCTTATATGCCGTCTCATTCCAAGAACAAGAATTTTGATCTAGACCAATTTCTTTTCGTTTGAACATTAAACTGTTGTGTGGAACAGTATCAAACACCTTGGCAAAATCCTAGTAGATCAAATCCTCTGCAACACCCTGATCTATACTTCAAGTTACTTCTTCGTGGAATGCAGTTAAGTTAATTTGATCATAAAACCATGCTGATTATTGCTAATAGCATTGCTCTTCTCAAAGAATTTCTAAGTTTTATTCCCTAATAACCCTTCAAATACTTTTACAAGCCACAGAAGTTAAGCTCACAGGTCTATAATTTTCATGCAAAGATTTTACTGAGTTTTCAGGTTAATCTTGTTATGGTTAATTGCAGAATGCATTAACCATAACAAGATAGATCAGTACACGCAGATACCAAATGAGTTAAATAAGACAAAAAGTTTGGGAGAATCTCAGTTCTCTACAAATGAGTTAAGAGAGATGCAGGAATTTCCAGGCAATGACTTTCAACCTGTTTTGAATATAGTAATCTCATCTGCTTTCCTCCAATTCTCCCGTACAATTCCTGAAAGATTAAAAACAGATTTTAGCTTATTTCTACACTTAAGTTGCTCCTTAAGTACTCGCAGGTGAATACCATCAAGCCTCGCAGCTTTGTTTATATTAACTTTCTTTAGTTGCTACAGCACCTTGCGTTGAGTCATGCAATAACAATTTTATGCAAATTTGTTGCAGAAATAATTTGCATATTCCCTGTCATAGTTTCTTCCTTAATGAAAATGCTTCAAATGCCCTTTTATTATTTCTAAGACAATTAATGGTTTGCTGGGGTGCAATGCCAACTCTTGTAGCAGCATGTGTTATGCAGACAGGTGTTGTAGAGGCCGGTGATGCACAATAAGCTGCCTGAGTCAGACAATGTAGAGTCATCTGTTGCAATTGCAAAAGAGCCATGAAGTTCATATAGATGTGGCTCAGATGGAAAGTGGCAGTTGGTGCATGTGGTGACAGTGGTGGTGCTGAATTTTGAAGCATTTAAATAGCACTGTGTTGTTGGTATTCTTGGTGTATAAAATGATGTCAAGGTGTTGAATTTTATGGCAAGACAGGAGGCTTCATATTTGCTTATCTTTCTTTACTGTAACTCCCAGCAGCAAAGAAACAGTTAACAGCAGTGTAAAAAAGGTTTAACCAATCAGTAAGCATTACAGTAGTATAAACTGTCATCAGGCTCCTCCCAATTCCTCTTTCTTTGCTGCTTAGCCTCCCAGGTGAGTCTATTCTAATTATACTCCTACTAAATCTCTAGTTTAACTGACTAATATATATTGTATATTATTTAAATATTTTAATATTTCTCATATAGTTTCCTTTTATGTTTCTTGCTTTGCTTCTATTTATTTAAGCTACATGGGCTGACACTCCAGTCAGCCCACAAACTCAATTTACCTCACATTTCCTCACTCTTTTATTTTTGTACTGTCAGTTTAATTTTCCTATAGCACTAACGCTTTCCCTGCAGCGCCCGGCATTTTGCCGGTCCGCTCAGCCGCTCAGCTCCCTCACACACAATGTGTGTTGCCCTGGCGTCTCCATAGAGACGCGTCCCGCCTTTTTTTTTTCATGCCGCGGCCATTTCTGTGAGCTTTTTTCCCGGGCTTCCCTCTCAGCGCCATCTTGTGGCAGGCTTATGCGCGGCGGTTTCCCTTGCATTTCGGCTCTCACTGCGATCGCGACCCAGCCGTTTGGTAAGTATATTTTTTATATCTTAAAGCCCCAGACCCTTTAGTTTTAAAAAATTTAAAGACATACCCAATACTCAAAACTTCAATTTTCTTGCAGATTTCAACATAACTGCCAACACAGCTTACACAAATCCTTGCTTGATTCTGAGGGTGACCCCCTCTAGCCTTTATTCTGAGGGTGACCCCCTCTTGCCTCTCCTTCAAGGGTGACCCCCTTTGCTGCCTCTATACAGGGTAATCCCTATATGATAACACAGGCACATACCTGTTATTAGATCTTGGACACTATATTGTCCTTCTCTCTCTGGGTGAACCCCACTGATAAATTGTGGACGAACTCCACTCTTACAGGATAGTTGCTCTCCTGCTTTTTTACACGCAGTCTAAGTCCACCGCCTCATTGTAATTAATTTGTCTGCGCAAAAAAAAATAAAAAAAATAAAAAAATATATATATATATTGTAAATATAATAATTAATTTCTTTTGTGGTGACCCCACTGATACTGACATTATGTCGGATGTGCCAGAACCAGCAGTTTCTGCCGAACTTAAGGCTTGGCTTTTCAATGCCATTACTGAATCTATACCCAAAGCTTTGGCGGCTTTCCGCGAGCAGACAATCCCAGCCCCTACGGCGACCATTACCCAACTCTCAGACTCCGAGGATTCTCACGCTTCAGAGCACGAGGAAGCCCCTCGCAAACGCCCTTGGAAGGGCGATAGCGCCACCGCCGGTAAAGGCAAAGCGCCTGCTAAACATCCTAAAGTGCCCTATTCTAAACCCAAGCAGTCCACCTCCCAACATGATTTTGACGCATTCGAGGGTTCAACCTCTAATTATAATCTCCAAGTATTAGACGAATATTATGCAGAACACTCGGATACTGAGGCTCCACCTCATAAGACATTCCGAGACCTTTACCCTTCCGATTCTGCAACTAATGAACCCCTTATACCTCTAGAGGAATTCCAATTGGAGTCTGATCTCACCTCTGAAAACCCTAACTTAAAAGAGGATACCTTATTTGACACCTCTGGCCGCCCCTTATTTGACCCCAGATGCATCAGGCACCCTAGATCGGCCGAATGGACGCCCCCGGACCACATTGCCAAATACTGTAGAATGTGGCTCCGTCGGCCTTTAGAAAAAGAGGTGAGAGCCAAATTAAGGGCAGAATGCCCACGTCCCATTATCCCAGACAAGGTGGCCAATACACCCGAATTTGACCCTTTCCTTGTGACCTTTCTAACCAAGTCAGGGAAAGACCCCCGTAAGGGCCTAGAACAGGGTCTGAAAGCCACTCAAGACAAATTGATGGATGTGGCGGGCCCGCTCATACAAATCTTCATTATTGCAGACGAGGCTCTATCAGGTGGCACATTTGATGCACATATGGTGCGAGAGTGGGCTCAAAGGGCCTTATGCCTTTTAGGCAATGCCAATGTGGCAATATCAACTGAACGACGGAAGGCCGTCCTTTATAAAATCGATGCCAAGCTTGCCGAATTGGGCACTAAAGAACTTGGTCCAGAGGCTCAAGGCATGTTATTCGGAGACAAGTTCATAAAAGAACTAAGTAAGCATGTCTCTGTTTTTACCACGCTGACAAAGGCACAATCCTCCATTCGCAAGGTATTTCGCACTCAGCGTTTTTCCGGAAGAGCTGGTCGCTATAGAGGCCGAGCGACTGGCAGAGCCGCCTTCACGGGCTACAGGCCTCGACCTTCAGACACCTGGAACTCGGGCAATACCCGATTCCACCACAGGCAATTCTTCCCCTCTCGCGGAGCTATCCGAGGACGTGGATCCGCTTCCCTCCGCGGTCGCACTGCTACAGGTAATGGACCTTCCTTATTCTCATATTCCTATTGCAGGCCGGTTAACCATTTTTTCCCAACAGTGGTCTCAACTCACTCAGGATCCTTGGATCCTTCAGACGGTGTCCGGGTTCCACCTGGAATTTTCAGTAGTACCGATACAAAATTCTCCTCCTACCCCAATCAAAATGTCACTATTAGACGAGTCAACTCTACGGAGCGAACTCGACGATCTATTCACCAAGGGTGCGATCGAAAGAGTTGTTGGTCCACAGACCTTCATAAGCAACATGTTTCTAGTCAAGAAAAAATCAGGAGGTCTACGACCTGTCATCAACCTGAGAGCTCTGAACAGGTTCATCACATACCGTCACTTCAAAATGGAGGGGATCCATTTATTGAGAGACCTACTCTCCGAGGGAGATTGGTTCTCCCGCTTCGATCTAAAGGATGCATACCTCACGGTGCCGGTAACACCAGCACACCGCTGCCTCCTTCAGTTTCGTTGGGAACAAGCACTATGGCAGTTCACCTGCCTCCCATTCGGCCTATCTTCTGCACCCTGGTGCTTTACCAAACTAATGAAACCAGTGATGGCATTACTGCGCTCCCAAGGAATCCGCTCCATAATCTATCTGGACGATATCCTCCTCATGGCACAAGACCAGGACACTCTCCACCTTCACACAAGCATGACCTCCGCCCTATTGCAGAATCTTGGCTTCGTGATCAATCACCAGAAATCATCCCTAACACCGTCCCAGACGATACAATTCCTGGGATTCCAGATAGACTCTGTTCAAGCAGTCCTTCAACTTCCGGCATCCAAAGTCAAATCCATAAAAAGAGACATTCGGAGGTTACTAATATCACCACACCTCCGTCTGCGGGACCTGGCCCGCACCATCGGCTTGCTCTCCGCCTCAATACAGGCTATATTCCCTGCCCCACTGCACTACCGAGCACTACAACGCCTGAAGACCCAATACTTACATCAGTCGACGTCCTACGACCAACAGATCACACTCACGGACGAAGTCCGGCTCGAACTCCATTGGTGGCTACAACATATGGACGCTTGGAATGGCAGAGCCATTTTCGGATCCCAACCAGACTTCGTCCTGGAATCGGATGCAAGTCTGCTCGGATGGGGCGCAACTTGCTCGGAGAGCTCTACAGGAGGACTCTGGTCCCACTCGGAACGAGCACTTCATATCAATTGCCTCGAACTGATTGCAGGCTCATTCGCAATCCGCAGTTTCGCCAAGGATGTCTACAACTGCTCCGTGGTGCTGAAGATGGACAACGTGTCCGCGGTTCGTTACGTGAACCATCTAGGAGGTTCCAAATCGAAGATGCTCTCAGATCTGACCAAAGAATTATATCAGTTCTGCCTAGACAGGAATATCTCCCTGTGAGCGGAATATCTACGGGATCAGACAACCTCGTCGCAGATTGGTTCTCCCGACACTGGAGGGACTCCAGCGATTGGCAAATGAATCCACAAATATTTCACCGTCTCCAGGCCTGCCGGGGACCATTCAACCTAGACCTCTTTGCATCTCGCCTCAACAGGCAGACGGACGCTTTTTACAGCTGGTTGCCAGACCCAGCGTGCCTTGCAGTCGATGCCTTCCTACAGACGTGGCCGATGTCCGGGGCATATGCATTCCCTCCTTTCTCCATGATTCCACGCACACTACAGCACCTCAGAACTCAGGGTGCCAGGATAACACTAGTGACCCCGCTATGGCGGGCCCAACCATGGTATCCTTACCTCCTGGAAATGTCAGTGGATTTTCCCCTGCTGCTACCCAGCACCTGCGACCTCCTCAGAGACCCGACAGGCAACTTTCACCCATTGGCAATTCAGGATCATCTCCAACTAGTGGCTTGGACCGTTTCAGGGGATCTTGGAATGTCTCAGGCCTTTCGACAACTGCTCAGGGACTCCTTTGGGACTCATGGGCCCCGGGAACTAGACGCTCTTACATCTCTGCATGGCGCCTATGGAGTTGCTGGTGCCTGGAAAGGGACCTTGATCCCTTTTCAACATCTATAATTAATATTATCAATTTCCTTTTGTCTCTGTTCGACCAGGGTAAATCCTACCGGACCATTAACGTGTTTCGGTCTGCTATTTCTGCAGCACACGTTCCTATCGAAAGTTCTTCAGTAGGCAAACACCCTTCCATCTGTAGACTCTTGCGGGGCATACGCATCGCTAGACCCCCGAATCCCAAATATAATCAATTCTGGGACGTGGCCATCATGCTCACGTTCTTGGAAACTTGGCCGGACAACGAGGCGCTCTCCCTACGCCAATTATCAGCCAAACT